TATCTGGCAGTGAAGACTGATATAATCCAGATTAAAGAAGAAAACCTGGGATCAGGTCCTGGGATATAGTGCCTGTTTGGAAGGACCCCAAGTCCAACACCCAAAACACTACACATTGCACTGGCCCTCCTAAAACACTGAAAAGTCACTTTTTTTTTTTACTAAAGTTGGCACTGAAATGCAGCCGCGTGTTGACATTTTACGCAGCTTCACCTGCTCTAAAACTCACATATTTTTCTGATAATATTTGTCTAGATTGTTACATCTGGTCGAAGTGTCTGTTGAAGTGCTTTCATTTATTGCAAAATTCCTGAAAGCGCAGCAGCCGATGGGTTTTAATCCCATCTCAGAGCTCCCTTGTGGGAATAGGAGCTGTCATATTGTCATCTATCTTACCATGAGATGAACTACCCAGTATTAGCAAATAATTAAGAGGTGTAGGTTTAGCAGACACTTTCTAAATAAATATAATCTTTTATTTAACCAGTTTTCACTCCTCAAAAAAAGGGATACAGAATGGCTTACCAGAATAAATTGGTAGTTACAAATATAGTAACTTGAAACCTTCACTGCCAGATTGTAGCATCTGGAGGATGTGCGGTTGATGACATAAGCAAGGTAAAAACTGCGGGCGAATCTGAGGATTACATGTTCCCCAAATCCATCTGGATAACCATGTCAATCATCCCACTTAAAAGATGTCACGTGTTAACACTATTTCTTTTTTTAGAATCCTAGAGATGCACTAGGAACAAGCAAAGACAATAATATTTAGAACGCTTTGACCAAAAAGCCAAGATGGCTCCTTCTCTAATGAAATTCCATCATCTGATAACAATTCTATATTACTGCAGCTTTCAGACTGGATTACTGAATATTGTGGGCCCCCCCCCCCCTTAGATATCTATATAAATAAAAATGTAATGTTCGTTTATGGGATTAACAGAACTCAAAAACCAGTGGGCCAATTGACACCAAATTTGAACAGCATACACCCAACAACCCAATGTATGTCCTTCGCTCAAAAAAATTTGATTTTGTCATTTGGGAGTTGTAGTTGCTGGAATTTATAGTTCATCTACAATCAAAGAGCATTCTGAACTCCACCAATTATGGCATTGAACCAAACGTGGCATACAGGACTCCCATGACCAACAGAAAATACTAGAAGGGTTTGGTGGGCATTCACCTTGAGTTTGGAAATTGTAGTTCACCTATATCCAGAGAGCACCGTGGACTCAAACAAGGATGGATCTGGACCAAACTTGGCATGAATATTCCATATGCCCAAATATGAACACAGATGGAGTTTGGGGAAAATAGACTTTGACATTTGGGAGTTGTTGTTACTGGGATTTATAGTTCACCTACAATCAAAGAGCATTCTGAACTCCACCAACAGAATTGGGGCAAACTTCCCACACAGAACCCCAATGACCAACAGAAAATACTTAAGGCCATCCAGTCCAACTCTCTTCACCAGGACAAGAAAATGTAATCAAAGCCCTCCAGACAAAGAGCCATCCAGCCATAGATATAGATATATATGATTCACACACACACAGATATAGTATCCTAGATTTGAAAGGGACCCCTAAAGAAGGAAAATGATATGTTGCATGTTCCAGAGTAGGCAAACCAGACACTCTCCACATCAACACTGACACAGAAACAATAAGAAATACTGTTTACCCACAAGCATAAAGAAATTACATATATTAGAAACCAAAACTTTCTCATTACTTTATTTTCCATATCACTAGACTGGTCCACAGTAACGCGTGGCAGGGGACGGCTAGTTTTTAATACATTTAACATTCCCAACATAAATGTTTGGCTGTACTGTTTCTTTTATACTGAACACTTTTACTGATACGGGTAGCTGCTTTGAATGCTCTTTTAAACAGAAGTGCTCATGCAAATACGGTATTTTAGCAAATAATCATTGCATTAAGCAATCATTGTATTTACTTAAAAGGTGGGACAAGCAACATGTGTTTTTCTATTCTTTATGTACTTGTGCAAGCACTAGGAACAATCAAAGTCTTAAGGGATATATCTACTTAGATGTTTCAGTAAATTCCAAAAATAATCAATACTTAATTATGCCACAGGGAACTGTTACATCGTAAACAGTGAATAATGTTTTTTCGTCCATACAACTGGACAGGTATAGAACTCAGCACAGTTGTCCATAGCCTCAAGAATACAATCTGGAGTATTGTCAGCATTAAGTAAATTACTCAGTGGACATTTAGCTGAAATATTTATCAGTCTGAACACAGAGAAGCCATTGAAATCCACAAGCATGTGGACAATTTCAACAGAAAGGAGGAAACCATGAAAATGAACAAAATCTGGCTACCAGTATTTAAAAAAACTCTAAAATTACAACAGCAAAACAACACAGGGTAAACAACCAGGGACAGCTAATCACCTCTCAACAAAAGATTGCCCCAGGCATTAACAAGCCACACCAAACAACAGCCAGGCTATCAAATGCTAATCAAGGTGGTCAGTTGAAACATTCACACCTAGCTCCAACAGACAAGCGTTCTTTGTCCCACCCTGGTCATTCCACAGATATATAAACCCATTTTCCTAGTTCCAACAGACCTCACTACCTCTGAGGATGCTTGCCATAGATGCAGGCGAAACGTCAGGAGAGAATGCCTTTTAGAAAATGGCCATGTAGCCCGAAAAAACCCGACAACAACCCAATGATTCCGGCCATGAAAGCCTTCGACAATACATTAAATCCATTTAGCACAGTGGTTGAATTGTCCCCAGATCATCTCTATGAAGAGACTATAGAGCTGATGTCTGAGGAATTTTTTTTCACTGAAGCAACTAATTTAAAAGAGCTAGACTTTATGCAGTACATATTTTTTTGTTTCTAACGTTAAATGGTGATTTTTTTTTTTTTGCCACAAAACCACGATGACATTCCAAAACATTGAGATTCTGACATTTCACCACAATATGACTCAGGTCACATGAGACTTTAAATAAACGTATGAACTGTTCAAGGAAAAGTCCTTTTTTGATGATAAATATTCAAAGGTCACAAGCGCAGAAACATTTTTCAACTAAAGGGAAACAGCATCTTGAAGAAAGAAAATAGCATTCTAAAATCCTTACCAGATGACGTACTTGCACATTTACTATGGCTTTCCACATTTAAAAAGCACACTGAACACAATTTGGGCTACAGTCTTCAGAGGAAAACAGTCCATAAGCAGCAAAACTAGCATCAGGGTTAACTACATCCCTTTTCTAGCTTTCCATCACATACTGACAGAATAAGCATTCAGGCTAATTACATTGGAAGTTGTCCAGTTAGGGTAAATGAGACACTACTCCCTCTTTGCAGGCTGAGGCTGTTCACTGTAAGCCTTCTCGCAGTCAGCACATGTGGTGGCACTGGCTGTAACTTTCAAAAAATCCTTAGTCTTGCTTCCACAAAGTTCAGTAGATGCTCCTGCTTAGGAAGAGGCACCACACATAGAATCTTTCTCCTCCTTACAGTCATAAGAAGGTGAGGTCTCTCCAGACAAAGAATGGAGTGGAGAGGAGTTGAGAAGGAAGGATTAACAATCTTGGACAACATAACCTTAGAAAGTTAAGTTGACCTATCAAAGATTCAGAAGAACATAGGAAAGGCGGGGGTAGGGGCACAACTTTCGGCCAGTGAACTGTTGTGCTGGTGCCTGGAGTGGGAGGGCAAACATGGTTTACTTATGCAGCCCTAGCCTCTTCCTGCTTACCTTCACTTTCTATGGATTTTTTGATGGGTCCTTCTTAACTGAATGCAATGTGTGGAGAAGTTTAACTTCTAAAAAGAGCATTGGATGGAATGGATGGAATGCAAGATATTAAAATGGGAGAAAAGCCCTATCCTTCCTTGTCTTTAGAGCTGGTGTGTATGTGTACATATGGACACACATGATTGTATACATTTCTTTGAAAACATCCCATGTAATTCATTAATACAGGAAGACACACCTTGACCCAAAAAATTAGTTCAGGTAATTTATGGTGAGACATAGTTTTCTGCACTCCCCTGGCCCTTAACAATATCTGCGTATCGCTTTAGTGGTTTGAAATTGGCATCTTATTCCAAATGACAAAATTAGTATCACTTGAAAGGTTTCTATGTTTTGTTTTTATTTTCGAGAGGAATTATAATCCACATTGCCAATATAGGGGGGGAAATGAAGAAGTAGTTTGTCTCAAAGCAGAAAAGAAGATGGACAAGTGAAATGTTTTGGGGAGTTTTTTAGCAGCATCAACACTGGGAAGACTGGGTAGTTGTATGAGCCTATATACAATAGGCATGATCAACTGCAGCCTCCTCCAGAATCCCTTACTTTGCATGCATGGGCAGCAAAATAGAGAAAAAGGGAGAGAATATCTTAGACTTGTGTTGAGTTTAATGGAATTTAATTCTTAACTGTGTACATTCTCTTACAAAGATACTATTATTATTTTTCTACTATTCTTTCAACTTCTGTTATCAATGTATCGTATGATGGAAGACAAACCAACACAAGTGCCTTGTCTTGAAGTTCAATTAATATTTCAGCAGACAATTTTAATTGTCCTTTAAAGCACATGTCATATAGAATTTCTACCTATTTGTATAAAGAATGCGGAATTTCTTTTTAAAAAGGTTTTCTGGAGTTGAACATAAATTGCTGAAGATAGCTAGCTGGTCTTCAGAAAGTGAATTACAGCTGTTGTTTAAGAATGTAAAGCTCAATTCTATACACATCTACTTAGAAGTAAGTCACACCGAAGTGGTGATTGTGTGCCTTTGAAGAACTTCTGACTTAGGCCCATCTACATTGTCATATAAAATCCAGATTATACGCTTTGAACTGGCAGTGTAGACTCATATAATCCAATTCAAAGCAGATAATCTGGATTATCTGATTTTATTATCTAGATTATATGGCAGTGTAGATCCAGCTCCTGTGTGACACTAAGGTGAAGCTATCATGGGGTTTTCTGAGCAATATGTGTTCAGAAGCAGTTTGCCTTTGCCGTCTTCTAAAGCTGAGAGAGTGAGACCTGCCAAGGTCATCCATTAGGCTTCCAAACCCAAACAGGGAGTCGTAGCCTTGTCTCCATTCTTAGTACAATGCTCAAACGGCACTGGTTCCTATCTATTAACAGGTATATAAGATTGGAAACCTTAATACAATCTAATGTTTTGTAAGATAACAAGGATATATATATGTATGTATAAGATATACAGATATACAGCGTGTCCATAAAGTCTCTTTACCATTTGTTTTGCAGTTAAATGGTAAATGGTAAAGAGAGTTTATGGCCAACCTGTATAGTACCAACACACAACAAGAAACCTGCAAAATAGGCACACAGGGATATTAAACCTGGAAATATAGACAGGCCATCTGTGGTGAACCCTTACCTTTAACAGTTAGGATATGGGCCTAGTGAAGCCCCGGCGGCCATTTTAGATTAGGGAAACAGGGAGACGTCATCTTAGGGTAGGCTTTCTTAGAGGGGGCGTGTCCTTGTTAAGGAAGAAAAGGGTAGATGGCCAGGACTGGTTAGAATAGGGGGTGGAGCCTAATATTCAGATTAAGAAAAAAGGTACCTTTTTGAATTCTGAGACTTCAGTTTGACAGTTGGGTTTTGACAGTTGGAGTTTGGGGATAGCAGTTAGGAATTGAAAAGGGAAAAGAAGGAAGTTTCGCTTGTGATAAATTCTTAATAGTTGCTTCAAGGAAGAACTATTGGTGTAAACAGACTCTGGAGAATTGGGCTGTTTGTATCGGAGAATCTGTTTAGTGGAATAATAAGTTTCCCAGTTTAAAGGTTTTGACTGGAACCTGTGATTCAAGCACTGAACTACTTCTGAATCCATCACGCATTTGTACCAGAGGAACTTAAACCTGTTAAATAAACGTTTTGTTATAGTTAACTCTTTACCACAACCTGTATCATTTATATTTAAACCCTCTGAGGAAAATAAACCCCATAGTAACACAGAAGTATCCTCTCAGCCTGAATATTAGAAAAGGTGGCAGCATACCTCAATTGAAGAAACAGTTACAAAACCTCTCAGTTCAGACGTCATTCAGATATATATCTATATGTATGTATGTATGTATGTATGTATGTATGTATGTATACACACACAGTTATATCCTCCCCTGATTTATCAGTCTCCCTCCTGTGAGTTCCTTATAAGTGTTGGTAGCTTGTGGGATTTCACTAATTTTAAAATTCCCTGTTCCTCCTTCCCTGAAAAAAGTAGTTCCTTGGTGGTAGAGCCTTTATAATTGGGCGGCAGCAGTGTGGATCGTACAACACCTCAATCCAGTCCATTTTAAGACGATCCTGAGGTAAATTTTAACCAAAATTCGACATCTGAAAATTACCTCAGAGAAAGAGCTACCACTGGCGCCATTTTGAAAACAACAAATAACAATGGCACCTCCCAAAGCAAAGAAGGTTACTTCTGAGGAAGCCGAAAAGGAAGGAGATATAGAATCAGTTGAGGAAACTGAAACACAAGCGCAGGGGAGTAGTCAAGAACAGATGGATACCTCTTTGGCTCTTGAAAAGCTTAAAATGGAAATGAGAATTAAAGAACTTGAGTTTCGAAGGGAGATGGAGAGGGAAAGAATGCAGGCTGAACAGAGGGAGAAAGAAAGAATGGCTGAGATGGAAAGAGAAAAGATACAAAGAGAGGTTGAGAGAGAAAGAATGCAGGCTGAACAGAGGGAGAAAGAAAGAATGGCTGGGTGACCTCCTGGGCGGGCTGGAGACCAGGACCGGCGTGCAGCGCTATTACCTGGCCACAGGCGTGGTGGCCTTCCTGGGCCTCTACCTGATGTTCGGCTATGGGGCCTCCCTCCTCTGCAACCTCATTGACTTTGTCTACCCCACCTATGCCTCCATCAAGGCCATTGAGAGCTCAGCCAAGGAGGACGACACGACGTGGCTGACCTACTGGGTGGTCTATGGGCTCTTCAATGTTGCCGAGTTCTTCTCCGACACTTTCGGAGATTAATTAGCATTCCCACCATTTGCAATGATCATAACCTTTTTATAAAGTATGGTCTTCCTGAGAAGAGCTAAAAACTCATTTGAGTGAATCTTCTCTTTAGTGGTATATATCCACAAGTATTCATGTAAGGCAAATTAGTTTTCTTTCTTGTTAGACTGATACGCCTCATTATCTCTTTGAAGTGTTAGGAACAAATATTACACCAATTCACAAAATATGTAGCAGATCTTCAGAAGTGTTATTGCAGTTGCCCAAAAACAGATACTCTCCCATGAAATACCTTGTTTCTATATCATGCTCTCAAGAGACACAATAAGCAGTCTTCGTTAAAAATAACGTAGTTGGTTTACTTACAAACTTCATGTATTCAGCATACACGGACACTGCTTATTGGTTGAAAGTTTAAACAGGAAGTTCTCTAAGACATTCTGTCTTATGTGTAATGCATAATGAATACTGACTATATAGTACACAACACAACTGACACTACTGACTTCTAAACTGTACTGTACTGCATCTGATGCAAACTGACATCTAAAAATGGAGTCTCAATCTGAATAGTCCCAGATCTCGTCACATAATGTTTAGTCCCTCCCACAACCGCAAACAATATAGAGTTAAGGGAAAAATGCATATCAAAATATACATACAATATAGTAAGCAATCTGAGTTATATACATATACAAATAACTAGCATAGGAGACTTATAGAAGGTTGCTATTTCCAACAGGTTGCCTACAGTAATGAAATATTTTGAATATGGACACAGACTATATAGTATGTATGTCTTAAGGCTCTTCCACACAGCCCTATATCACAAAATATCAAAGCACTAGTGGACTCAACCCAGTTCAAAGCAAATATTGTGGTATTTTCTGCCTTGATATAGGGCTGTATGGAAAAACCCCTAGAGCAGTGTTTCTCAACCTGGGGGTCAGGACCCCGGGGGGGGGGGTCGTGAGGAGGTGTCAGGTCACAAAAGATCATCAGAAGGTTCTGTGTGGAAATTTTGGCCCAATTCTATCTTTGGTGGGATTCAGAATGCTCTGATTGTAGGTGAACCATACACCTCAGCAACTATAACTCCCAAATGTCAATGTCTATTTTCCCCAACCTCCATCGGCATTCATATTTGGGCATATTGAGTATCTGTCAAGTTTGGTCCAGATCCATCCTTGTTTGAGTTCACAGTGCTCTCTGGATGTAGGTGAACTACAACCCCAAAACTCAAGATCAAAGCCCACCAAATCCTTCTAGTGCAGTGGTTCTCAACCTGGGGTCCCCAGATGTTTTTGGCCTACAACTCCCAGAAATCCCAGCCAGTTTACCAGCTGTTATGATTTCTGGGAGTTGAAGGCCAAAAACATCTGGGGACCCCAGGTTGAAAACCCAGTGTTTTTGTTGGTCATAGGAGACCTGTGTGCCAAGTTTGGTTCAATTGCATCGTTGGTGGAGTTCAGAAATCTCTTTGATCGTAGGTGAACTATAAATCCCAGCAACTCCAAACAAATGACTCCAGATGTTTAAGTTTGCTTATATACTGGGCATGGGCAAACTTGGATCCTCCAGGTGTTTAGGACTTCAACTCCCAAATGTCAAGGTCTTCAATTCCCAAATGTCAAGGTCTATTTTCCCCAAACTCCACCAGTGTTCACATTTGGGCGTATGGGGTATTTGTGCCAAATTTGGTCCAGTGAATGAAAATTCATCCTGCAGATCAGATATTTACATGACGATTCATAACAGTAGCTAAATGACAATTATGATGTAGTAACGAAAATAATTTTATGGTTGAGGGTCACCACAACATGAAGAACTGTGTTAAGGGGTCGCGGGTTTAGGAAGGTTGAGAAACACTGCCCTAGAGGGTGTTCTTGAAACCTGCCAACTTTCCATACAAGACTAAGGTAGACACACGTTAACAAATAGTGTAACCTTATTATTGGTTGTTAAATACAAATTTCTATGCAATTATCTGCATACATCTTAAAAACTAGAGGGACAGTTTGGCTGCCAAGGAAATGATAATCATGAACTGTGAAAGGAGAATTAACTGTACACTTAAATACACATGTACAACAATTCAAAGGCACAATTTTCTAGTTCACAACCCAAAGATTAGCAATTATTTCAAGAGGCACTGAATTATGGGTAGGAATTAAGCAGATAAGGTCAAAACAGAATGTATTGTCGAAGGCTTTCATGGCCAGAATCACTAGGTTGTTGTTGGTTTTTTCGTGCTATATGGCCATGGTCTAGAGGCATTCTCTCCTGACGTTTCGCCTGCATCTAGCCATTGAAATACACAAGCATGTGGACAATTTCAACAGAAAAGAGGAAACCATGAAAATGAACAAAATCTGGCTACCAGTATTAAAAAACTCTAAAATTACAACAGCACAACAACAGAGAGGAAACAAACAAGGACATCTAATCACCTCTCAACAGAAGTTTGCTCCAGGCACTGTCAGGCCATTATATGCTAATCAAGGTGGTCAGTTGAAACATTCACACCTAGCTCCAGCAGACAAGAGTCCTTTGTCCACCCTGGTCATTCCACAGATATATAAACCCTTTTTCCTAGTTCCAACAGACCTCACTACCTCTGAGGATGCTTGCCATAGATGCAGGCGAAACATCAGGAGAGAATGCTTCTAGACCATGGCCATATAGCCCGAAAAAACCTACAACAACCCAAAACAGAATGCCTTGGGATATTGACATTTGCATTTCTGTGTTATCATTTAAATAAAAACATCTTTTGAAAGACCGCCTTCGTGCATTGTATCACTTTTCTTGTAACAGCAAAAACATTACAAGTCCTCAGAACCACCAGGTTTCCAATGTGTACTCTATGCAATGCAATTGTATATTTAACCTTTCCAGTTAGACATCTGCAGCAAGCAATCCAGCTGTGGTATTCTTATCAAGCACAAGGTAGGAACAAAACTCTCAATGGAAAAACATGTCCAAAGCTCCACCTTGTGGACTGAAGTATGTTTGAAACAATAAGAAAAGAAACTGAATGCATTTTGTGTATTACCCAAAATTATAGCAGAAAAGAAACTTTCAGGATTTTGACTAGATCGCCATTAAAAAAAAGCACAACAATTTGTTGTCAAGACTTCTCCAAAGTCAAGGAACAACCAACCTGCCCTAAAACAAGAGAGGAGTTGACCCGATGTGGATAGTATCCAAAGTTTATTCCCAGAAGGTAGTTCTTAAGACATTAAAACTGTAACCGATTCCATCTTCTGCATGTGAAATACCATGATCATTATACTCATTTTTATATTGTTTTATCTATTTCTTCAGCAGCCACTCTCAGTAGAGAGCTTTAGAAACTATTGTAGCATATGCAAGGTAGATGGCACATTGTTTTAGAAAAATATGCTAAAACAACCACATTAAAAATGTGACAAAGAGCGTAAGCCGACTGAGAATATCAGGTAAGCAAAACACTAGAATAAAACTATATATTTAAACATCAGAGGACGCAAGGAGCATATTTTGGGAAGAGATTATCTTTGCCTATTTTTGCGATTGAAGTTTTGTTTTCTTGCATACAATCTCATTACATTAATTTGAGCTATGACAAATGACTCCAGATGTTTAAGTTTGCTTATATACCGGGCATGGGCAAACTTGGGGCCCTCCAGGTGTTTTGGACTTCAACTCCCACAATTGGGAGTTGAAGTCCAAAACACCTGGAGGGCCCAAGTTTGCTCATGCCTGGTATATATACCTTTAGAAAACCTCTGACACAGTCAACTACCATGTAATTGTGCTCATTTTGCCCATATTTTCTGTCGCAAGCAAGCTATGATTTACTAAATTTACCAAATTACAGTAGAAAGATCCCACAGCATAAAATTGCATTTCATCCGCTCATTTTTTGTCACATGCAGGAAAGAAAGAGTTAAGGAAGACACAATGTATTAGGAGCCAATGCACTTACCTCTTCAACTGTCAAAGGCATACAGATCCGGTACTCCTTCATGAGCATATTCCTACACATTCAATGCAAAACAGCAATCCAGGAGAAATGTGATCACAGTGCACTCTGAGATATATATATATTCAAAAAATATTAAAATTGCCAAGATCACCAGCACCCTGCAGTACGTGTGCCTGACAGCGTATGTGCAATGTGCCGCTGCCACTATCTAGAAAGCTGATCCAGCAAAAGGGAGAAAGAGAGAGAGAAAAAATCCTATTTCTTCTATCTTCCTATTTTTCTGCTTCAAAATGTAGTCATGTGGTTTTTTTTCCACAAACACAAAGGAGTCTCAAAGATAAACTGCTCTCATTGTGAATTCAAAGGAATCCACGAGAAACCTTGTAAAAGATGGAATTTCCTCGCAATGCTATCAAGACATTCTTGGAGCAATAAGGAAAAAAAAAATAAGTAAAAATAGCTGAAGCAGTCCAAGATGGTATGGTAGTACGAGCAGCAGTGGCAGGAGACTGGATCAGCCAGCGGCAGAGATGAGATGCTGCTGACTTCCAAGACAAAGGCTTTGTAAGGTTTCCTTCCCAGATGGGTAAACAAGGTTCTGTTCACCTTACTGTACTTCAACCTCCAGCATTAGTGCACTGGAAGGGAAAGAGACAGGATGTGCCTTGGCTCTTCCTCCCACCTTTGATCATTCCTGGGGGCTGGGTTTCCCCACCACAGCCTGTAGTAAGGATCTGTATCTGGTTGCCTTGAGAAGTCTCTGCAGCAGCAGCAGCAAACCTTAGGAAGGGTGTGTGAGAGAGAGTGGCTCTGACATCAGCAGCCACAGCAGGAAGGATGGCCCCATCCGGCCAATAGGGAAATGTCACCGCAAAGAATGCGAGCCTTTTAAACAAAACAGCATGTCCCTGCTCAGGAGCCAGTGAGCAAAGTGGAAGCAAATTGTAGGTCAGACACTATCAACATCAAAGGATGATTTTAGTGGTGTTCTCGAACACCAATGTCACGCCATTGAGTAAAATCCAAACAGTTGAAACTGGCATAAGGGAAACCAGAAGTTGTTCCAAACAGTATGAATGTAAAAGCATAGAATCATAGAATCAAAGAGTTGGAAGAGACCTCATGGGCCATCCAGTCCAACCCCCTGCCAAGAAGCAGGAATATTGCATTCAAATCACTCCTGACAGATGGCCATCCACCTCTGTTTAAAAGCTTCCAAAGAAGGAGCCTCCACCACACTCCGGGGCAGAGAGTTCCACTAAAACATTGTGCAGGTTAATAGAAGGAAATACGATCACGACGGTGAAATCAATCTCGACACGTGAAATTAGCAATGTGAAAATACTTCAATAGCAGCTCACAGTGTTGAAAGGGTAACCACTGCGGGACTCCATCTACACTGTGGAATTAATCCAGATTGATACCACTTTGAAAGCCATGGCTCAATCCAAGGGAATCCTGGGAGTTGCACTTATGCCCCTTCTACACAGCCATGTAAAATCCAGATTCTCTGCTTTGAACTGGATTATATGGCAGTGTAGACTCATATAATCCAGTTCAAAGCAGATAATGTAGATTATCTGCTTTGATAATCTGGATTATATGGCAGTGTAGAAGGGGCCTTAGTCTTCTCTGCCAAATAGTGCTGGTCAGGCAGGGGGGGGGGGCTTGAGGGGCTTCAGCTCCCCCCCCGAAATTCTCATGGTGGTTGCGAAAAGGCCTTACTGGTGCATTATTTAAACTGTTTATGTTTATTAATATCATGATCTGATCACCATGCTCAATATATCCCATATGCATGGGGGTATTGGGGTAATGATACAAAAGGTTTGCTAGGGTAGACCCTCTTTCACTCAGACTCAGCCCCGCCCCCCCCGAACCAAACTCAGCCCCCCTCCCCCGAAACAAAATCCTGGCTATGGGACTGTTTTGGTTCGCTCCTGACATGAGAAATAAATAAATCTCAATGTTAGGCGCTGTGGAGGCGCAGTGGGTTAAACCACTGAGCTGCTGAACTTGCGGAATAAAAGGTCGGCGGTTTGAATCTGGGGAGCAGGGTGAACTCCCGCTGTTAGCCCCAGCTTCTGCTAACCTAACAGTTTGAAAACATGCAAATGTGAGTAGAGCAATAGGTACTGCTTTGGCGGGAAGGTAATGGTGTTCCGTGGCCCCATGACCTAGGAGGTGTCTATGGACGTCAGCTCTTTGGTTAGAAATGGAGATGAGCACCACCCCCCAGAGCCAGACACAACTAGACTTAATGTCAGGCAAAACCTTTACCTTTACCCTGGATGCACCCCAAATCATCTTTCTTTTTTACATGAATCAGTCACTAGTAATTCAGACCACACTAGCAATTATCTTAACAAATCATTTTTCAGGCCTGCAGGGTAAGGTGTTTCATACATAAATCTGCTGCAACTGCCCTGAGGAATGTCTTGATAACAAAGAAGTGTATCTTGATAAATTCCTGGTAAATGATAATTAAATTGGCAGCTCTGGAATCTCAATCTCCAGAAGCATTCAAGCAAAAGTAAATTAGTCATTGAGGAGGGGAGGGGGGGGGGAATCTCATGATGATACACAGATCACCAGCAAAGGAATCCAGGGCAACACAAAGGGCCCTTCCACACAGCCTATATCCTAGAATATCAAGGCAGAAAATCCCACAATATCTGCTTTGAAGTGGGTTATCTGAGTCCACACTGCCATATATCCCAGTTCAAAGCAGATAATGTGGGATTTTATTCAGCTGTATGGAAGGGGCCTGAGTTGGAAGGGACACAGGCCCCTTCTGCACTGCCATATAATCCAGATTATAAAAGCAGATAATCCACATTATATGTTTTGAACTGGATTATCCGAGGCCCCTTCTGCACTGCCATATAATCCAGATTATAATAGTAAGTAATGCACATTATATGTTTTGAACTGGATTATCTGAGGTCCCTTCTATACTGCCATATAAAATCTAGGCTGTCTGCTTTGAATTGGATTATATGGCAGTGTAGACTCATATAATCCTGTTCAAAATAGAGAATGTGGATTATCTGCTTTGCTGGAGCCCCCGGTGGCGCAGCGGGTTAAACCCCTATGCAGGCAGGACTGAAGACCGATAGGTTGCAGGTTCGAATCCGGGGAGAGGCGGATGAGCTCCCTCTATCAGCTCCAGCTCCTCATGCGGGGACATGAGAGAAGCCTCCCACAAGGATGACAAAACATCAAAATCATCCGGGCGTCCCCTGGGCAACGTCCTTGCAGACGGCCAATTCTCTCACACCAGAAGTGACTTGCAGTTTCTCAGGTCGCTCCTGACACGACAAAAAAAATCTGCTTTGCTAATCTGGATTATATGGCAATGTAAGAGAGGAAAAAAATATCCTTAATCATTCCATTTTCCCCTGGATTTAGTTTTCCACCCAGCACATCCCTTAACATCAGCCAATAAGCCTTATCAACCTCAGCCATCAGTTCTCTCGTTCCTTGAAACAACTCTGCTACTTCTTCCCCAATGTGCCTTAATATTTGGAATTGCTTCCAAGAGGGAGCCCCATTATTTCCCAAAAATCCCACTTCGCACTTAACATACTTGTAAATGAAATACCGTAATCATTGATAACCTCAACCAGACTGTTTCCCTTCTTCTGACTGGTTTTTCCCTCCTGTGCATCTATTTATAAACTGCTAAGTCCCCTGAGACAGGAACTTGACAAACTTGTTCTCTGAAAAGTGCCATGTAAACAGATGGCGAGATTTTTTAAAATATATTTGTCTTATTTGTATTGGGCCAGATCCAAGGACTCACACACAGGAAGAAAATAGCCATTGACATTGCTCTGAGGAGAAAAAAGCATAAGGACAAGGTGAAATGAGGCTTTATCAACTGCAGCCATTCTTGGGCAATCTTTTGAGCAAAGTTTTAAGCTGAAAAATACAGTGCTTTTCGGCTGGCTTTCATTTTTCTTATGCAACATTCCAGCATGATGTGCAAGACAGCTCTTATTAGCAAATCATTCCTGCCAGCAGTTCAAACTCATTATTTTAAGTGAGCTGCTAGAAAGAAATGTGATATACATGTCTTAAATAAATGAGAATATTTTTTTCCAATAGTAGGCACAAAATGCTTCAGAAAGAAATTTACTATACGGAAGTGAAAGGACAAACATGGGATATACAAGAACAGGGTACAAGAACCTCACCCATTTCCCTTTTGTTTAACATTAACAGCATCTGTCTAATTCTGGAACTATGTGTAATTACAGGGCTCTCCAATTGTTATTTTAATGGCGTGCCAGCCAGGAGCCCCTGGCTTGAAACCGATCTGACCTGCAGCAGGGAGTTCCACAGTTCCTGGTTGCCCAACTGGGCCAGTGTCTCGGTGGCATTTTCTTCAACTTGGTGAGACTTTTATTAAATAAAAATGTAATGTTCATTTGTGGGATTAACATAACTCAAAAACCACTGGACAATGACACCAAATTTGGACACAATACACCTATCAGGCCAACAAGTGACCATCACTCATAAAAACACTGGAAGACACAGCAGAAGAGGCTTAAAAAGCCAAATAAATAAAAATAAAAAATGCATTACAATGTATGGTGCAACCCCCCCCCCCCACCATGCTTTTGTGCTGTGGTGTTGGAGGAAAGTTCTGAGAGTGCCTTGGACTGCGAGAAGATCCAACCAGTCCATCCTCCAGGAAATAAAGCCCGACTGCCCACTGGAGGGAAGGATACTAGAGACAAAGTTGAAGTACTTTGGCCACATCATGAGGAGACAGGAAAGCCTAGAGAAGACAATTATGCTGGGGAAAGTGGAAGGAAAAAGGAAGAGGGGCCGACCAAGGGCAAGATGGATGGATGGTATCCTTGAAGTGACTGGACTGACCTTGAAGGAGCTGGGGGTGGTGACGGCCGACAGGGAGCTCTGGCGTGGGCTGGTCCATGAGGTCACGAAGAGTCGGAGACGACTGAACGAATGAACAACAACATATGTATATATATATATATATATATATATATATATATATATATATGCAAACACACATATACACAAATATATACACACATATACACACACAAAACACATATACACAGACTGGGCCACAGCAACGCGTGGCAGGGGATGGCTAGTCTATATAAATAAAAATGTAATGTTCGTTTGTGGGATTAACATAACTCAAAAAACACTGGACGAATTGACATGAAATTTGGACACTATACCCCTAACAGACCAACAAGTGTCCATCACTCAGTGGAAAGGACTTAAAAACCCAAAAAAGCTAAATGTCAAAAAGCTAAATGACGATACAGGAAAAAGGGAAGGAAGAGGGAGGGAAGGAGAGAGAGAGAGAGAGAGAGAGAGGAAGGAAGGAAGGAAGAAAGAAAGAAAGAAAGAGGGAGGAAAAGAAAGAAAGAAGGAAAGAGAGACGGAAGCATGGAAGCAAAGAGCGAAAAGAAGGAAGAAAGGAGAGAAAGTGGGAAAGAAAAGGGGGAAGGAAAAAAAGAGGTAGAGAAGGAGGGAAGGAGAGAAAGTGGAAGGGAATGAAAAGGGGAAGGAAAAAAGGTAGAGATGGAAGAAAGGAGAGAAAGTGGAAGGGAAAGAAAAGGGGGAAGGAAAAAAGAGGTAGAGAGGGAAGAAAGGAGAGAAAGTGGAAGGAAAAGAAAAGGGGAAGGAAAAAAAGAGGTAGAGAAGGAAAAAAGGAGAGAAAATGGAAGGAAAAAGGGGGAAGGAAAGAAAGAGGCAGAGAAGGAAGAAAGGAGATAAAGTGGAAGGGAAAGAAAAGGGGGAAGGAAAAAAGAGGTAGAGAAGGAAGAAAGGAGAG